TGCATATAAATCATTTACTACAATTATGGCACATTGTGAGAACTCAGCAAGTGGTAGCTTTTCACTAGGATCTCTGGGTGCATAGCAGATTTAAGTTGACTAAGGCAAACACTCATCTTCCATTTGTTCATAGGTTCATAGTCAGATTGTCATGCCTTGATAAGTTCATGTCCTGACTGGGCCTGGGAGATGCTGGCCATCCTGCTCATATAGCACCAGGGCTTCTGCCATGGAGTTGTGCCAATTCCCTCTTGCCTCCTACAAAAAATCTGTCTTTCCATTTATTTAGCCTCTGCTCTATTCCTTTCAGCTCAGTACCACCAGGCGGTAACGTGCAGGTTTTACCACACTGTTGAAGTATTAGTTGAAGCTTTTGTCTTGTTTTCCTTTGGTAAACTTATCTGAGCTTTTCGAATTTTTTTTTTTTTTTGGGGCAAGAAAATTCCAGGAAATGAAAGGAATAGGACAAAATTATGGGGTATCTTAGGACTCTGTTAAGCTAGAGTTGTTTTGAAGCTAATGTTAGACATGTGCCCCTGGAGTGAAAAATGTTTTAGGATCTTTTTCAGGATTCACTCCATCCTGCCCTCCATCATTCTTCTGTCTCAATTCATAGTACAGTTCTTAGATATACTCCCTTTCGCCAAAAAAATCACTGATCAGAAGGACTTGATGGCTATAGAGGCCTACTGCTGGTGATCTGGCTTAGCTGAGGTCAGTTTTCCCAGTGGATAATACTGATCCTTTCCCTTCCCTTCTCTCCCACCAAAGGGTCTGTCCTCAGTCAGTTTCTCTGCCCCTGCACTAAGCTATCCTTTTACTACATATTCTGTTCCACCTTCTTGGTTCCCAGCTTCTGAAAGACAAAACTGATGTCTTCTCTGGTCCTCCAAAGATTTTTTTTCCCTAACTTTAAATTGGCTCACATAGTTACTTTGTCTTTGCAACACCGTCTTCTAGCTTTCTTTCTGAGCAGGTTTAGTGTTATCCTCCGTTTTTTGTGGAACCTATTTCTTTTTGGACCTAGTTACTTTATCAACCTATTTGTTCTTCTGTTGTGCCTCTTGGGTGAGTCTTTTATAAAAACAGAGTATGTAATTGTATCTACGATTGTAATTGAACACTTAAAATTTGCCATATCTGAGGCTAAATGCTTTATATTGATAACTATTCATCACCTTATGAGGTAGGTATATTTTCCTATTTTACGAACTAGGAAATAAGGCTTGGAAAGTTTTGACCTGTCCAAACTAGTAAAGGGCAAAGCCAATGAAACCAGATCTCTCAGACTTCAGAGCCTAAGATCTGGCTTGTCAGCTTGAATGTGTGTAAAGCTGGCATCTGGAATCTTGTGGGTCCATATGGTGTCTGCCATCTTATTTCCTCCAGAATAGGTGGCCACAGGATATTTAAACATACCCAGAGGCTGACATACAAAAAATTTTCATCTGGTGGGGGTCTCTTGTTTTGGGGAGGAATGCGTGTGACGTGCATTGTGTTCAGGCCTTGTATCCTTGTGCCCACCTCCCCCCCAACCCAGGCCCCTTCATGGCTGTGCTCTTTGCCAAACTCGAGAACATGCTGCAGAACTCCGTCTATGTCAACTTCCTGCTGACGGGGCTGGTGGCCCAGCTGGCCTGTCACCCCCAGCCCCTGCTCCGCTCTTTCCTGCTCAACACCAACATGGTCTTCCAGCCCAGTGTCAAGTCCCTGCTGCAGGTGTGCGATGCATGCATGCGTGGGTGCATCCAGGCTCCATGGTGGGCCTGGCCCGCAGCTGGAGTGACCGTGGGTGGGCTGGGAACAGGTCCAGTGGGACTAGAAAGGACTGTATCAGTCTAGAGGTGCTCAGAAATGTCATGAAGGTGTGCTTCATAGGTGCTGGGCTCTGTGAAGAATAAGATTGAGAACTTTGCGGCTTCCCAGGAGGACTTCCCAGCACTGCTATCCAAAGCCAAGAAGTACCTCATTGCCCGTGGCAAGTTGGACTGGGCTGAGGGCCCTGCAGCAGGACCTGCCCCGCGCCGTTCTGATCCCCTAGGTGAGGCCTATCCCACCACACCTGTACCTGCCCTCCCTAAATAGCCTATTAACCCAGGTTAATTGAGCTCTTATTAAGAGTGAAATGTTGTGCCAAGACCTGGTGAGTTATAGAAAATTGAGTCTTCATGTTTGTTTTCAGGCTTCTGGTCAGAGGATAGAACATAGTTCTATCTATTAAGAGCCAGATGAGAAGTTCTAGCAAAAACTACTCTAGAATTTGGGGACAAGAAAGAGGACAGAGTAGTCTCTAGGTTGCGATATTATTACAGCTTTGTAAAGGACATGACATTTGACATGGGCCTTGAGAGCTGGGTAGGACTTAAGTAGGCAAAGGAGTGGGGAATCTTTTTTTTTCAGGAGAGATCCTGGACTGTTTAGTTGGAGTAGGGGATTTAAAAGATGGTGGAATAGTTGGTAGTAAGGCTAGAGAGATTTGGCTGGAGCTCAATTTCTCAGAGTAGAAGTTGGGATGTTTTAGGCAGTGAAAAACCACTGGAAGTTCTAAATCTGGAAGTGGAGAGATTACTATGTTAGCTCAGATGAAGTCAAGCTAGGAGAAAAGAGTCAGGAAGCATCAGGAGGCTTCTGCCATATGTAGATGTTACCAGGGAGGCTTGAATTAGAATAGTGGACATGGAAGGGAAGCATTTAATGAGGCAGAAATGAGAAGGAAGTGTTGGTAGAGTTTGGTGAGTGGTGTAAGGAAGGAGGAAGAATTAAATGTGGTTATGAAGTTTTAAATCTAGACTTTTCGCTTAACAAGTATCTTGAACATTTGCCATGTGTGCCGGGCATTGTCTTTGGTACAGGGAATTCAGGGAGGTACAAGATGTAATTTCTGCCTTCAAAGAATGTACAATCTGGAGAGTGACTAGAGGAATGTAATACCAGAAGTAGGAAGGTCCTAAAGGTGTTGGGAGTAATGGGATCTAGAACAATAGAAAAGGATTAACTTTGGACAGGAAAAGGCTTTTTGTTTTTCTCCCTTTGAGGAAAATGAGCAGAGAGCAAGAAGGAACTGACAGGTGCCAGTGTAGTTGTGAAGTATAGAGGAGAAAGGGATTTCACATCATTCTTTATTTACTAATCAAAGTAGAAGGCAAAATGATACGCTGAAAGCAGAGGTGGAGGCTTAATGAGAAAAGTGTACGGGTTGGGAAGAGAGTACCACAAAAGTTACTGCACAGCTGTGAAGTCTCAGGTAAAGTTCTTTTGCATGATTTCTTCATGGTCTAGTATTGTAAATATTTCTTCCTTCTACAGTTCTGGTGCTGGGGTCACTGTAGAGGGGCCAGGTAGACAAGGTAGACAAGACACAGTCTAAGCCCTTAAGCTCACAGGTTAGTGTGTGAGGTAGAAGACATAGAAATAAATTAAGTATGTTGAGTTAAGGGAAGTAAAATTGGGATTCAGTGGAAGACAAATCAAGAGGAGGCTTCCTAGAGAAGTGGGGATTATAAAATTTCACCTAGAATGATGAAAAAATTAGGGAGAAGAAAATTTAGGCAGAGAGAGCTACAGGTGCATGAAAAGTGCCTGGAGGGTTCCAGGGTGATAGATGTGGATGCAAAAGCAAGATGGGGTGTGGAGAGTTTGACAAGAAATTGTAGGAGTGTGAGCCTGATTGTGAAGGACTCTGAATGCCAAATTTAATGGATCGGTGTAGTATTTCTGTAGCCAGTATTAGATGTAGGAAATGGGAATTGTTATTAGAATCTAGGCCTTTATAGTAGATATGGATCCAGACCCAGAAATCTAGGCAGAATGTTAGAGGCAAGAGGACATTGTTTTGAATGGCTCACTTGAGTCTAAGCTGACTTGAAATTGACTGCAACCAGTGGGAGAGAGGCTTTGGTGCAGGACAGGGACTGGTGAATGGTGAAGTGGTGAATGGTGAAGAGCAGATTTTGGAGGGACAGTAGAGTATGACAGAAGTGAAATTGTCACTGAACTATAATTGCATATATAGCCCCTGTGGGTATTGTAGGAGCAGAGGATGTGGATTGGGTGTTATAGATAAGCTGGGAAAGAGGTGGTTGACTGGTTCGGAAGGGTGATGGGAAGCATGAAATCAGGGCATGCTGTAGACAGAGGAGAAATAGCTTGGTGGTGGTAGATTAGTGATTGGAAAGAGGAGAATTCATCAGGGTCAGAGGGCATGGAGAAGGAATGGATCTTAACTGGGAATGAAGTGGCTAAAGTGTTGATTGGTTAAAGACTGAGAAGGATGGTTGGCTGGGTGGGGAGGCTGGATAGAGGGAAAAAGGCTGGGCAGGTAGTATTTTTGGTGTTAGAGTGAGAAAGAACTCCTCACTCTAGTCCTCAGAGTCAACTTCAGGGATGGGACAGGAAATGGTACCTGAGGTTCATTTCTGGTCCATTTTGTCCTTTTTTCCATTTCCTCAGAACCCTAAAGGAGAAGTCCAAGAACCTAGGGGGTGGGGGAATCTCCCCTCTCAGTCCAAGGGAGGTTCCTTGATCCCAGCACCTTCATGATACCCCTGTTTATTCCCAGTGAAGAGCCGGAGGCCATCCTTGGGGGAGTTACTCCTGCGGCATGCACACAGTCCAACCAGGGCCCGGCAGACGGCACAATTGGTCCTTCAGCCTGGGCGAGACGGAGCAGGACTTGGCCTAAGTGGGGGCTCCCCTGGGGCTTCAACTCCAGTTCTACCTGCCCGGGGCGGGGCCCCTGAACGCCAAGGTGAGGCTCTTCGAGTCAAGAATGCTGTCTACTGTGCAGTCATTTTCCCTGAATTTCTCAAGGAGTTGGCTGCCATCTCCCAGGCTCATGCCGTCACCTCACCTTTCTTGTTGGAGACTTCAGAGGAAGGATCTGGCCCTCTCATCTCAGGCTATGGGCCCCTCAATCCTTAACTTTCTTCCATGGACAATCAGGGCCATGGGTGGCCTGGGCCCGGGCTGGGGCTAGGGCACAGGCTCCTTTTTATGTTTCGAGGCAGTGGCAAAAGGACTTTTTAATTTATTTCAGATGAATGTTTTATGGAGAACTTGTTGCAATATGTATAAAAGGGAAATCTCTATTCTGTGCTCATTTTTCTTTCCCATTCTTTTTCTGTGGGGCTGGGGCCCCAGAAAAGGTTGTATATAGTGGGGGAGGTGGTCAGGAGTATTTTCTCTTTGGTGAGGACATTGCTGCCAAGGTTTCAAGGTACCCCTTATGTCCTTAGAGGGTGAAGGGACTCTTCCCTCTTCTCTGGATCCCAGAAGGAATAAGCAGCATGGGCCCAGGATGGTTTGGGGGAGCAGCAGCTGATGTTTATTAGAGACCAGTACCCCTATGCCAGATCTTGGGGGCTTTGCCCCCGGAATCTTTTGCTTCAGCTTCAGTCGTCGCTGTCGAACTCTGAGGATAGACCCTGCAGCAGGGGCAGGGACATGGAGTGCCCGTCGGGGTCCCTGGGGCCCCCACCCTGGGCTCCTGGTGGAGGGCTGCGGGGGCTGAAGAGCCAGTTCTCTGCCAGGGTTGGGGATAGTCACAGCTTGACTTATAGCTGGTCTTTTTCCTCCCTAGCTTTTCCCTCTAGTCCTCTGTGCCATCCCAATCCCCTTACCAGGGCCTTCTCATTCCATCTCACCCTCCCCGGGCTCCCTCATTCCATCTCTTTCACCAGAGCCCTGTGCTGAGTAATGGATTCCCCACATACTTAATTCTCATGCCTTCTCCCTCCTTCGCTTTGTCCCTCCCATCCATCTCATCATCATTTCCCCCTAGCAGTACCTGACAGTATCTGGGGCCCCCTCCGGAAGGGGTTTCGGCCCTTGTAGGAGAATCTGGTGGGTTTGCCCTCTGGCCCTTCCTGGGGAGGTGGTGTAGGTGGAGCTGGGACAGGTGGGGGCACATCAGCAGCTTCAGGTGTATCAGCAGGTGCTGATGTGGGGGCCAGAGGTGGCATGATGCTGAGGTTGGGTCTGACCCAGTTGGCCCCATGGAGCAATGGGTCTTTAGTCAGAGGCTTCTGTGGTCCCAGCACGCCCTTGGACTGCAGTGAAAACTTGAGGCAGGAGAAGGCAACAGGTAATGACCGATGTAGCTGGAGGAGCTGGGGCTCATGGGCTGTAGGCATCAGCCCCAGCTGCAGCCAGGAACAAGAGAAGACCTGGTAGATGACATAGATGCTGTGGGTGCTTCGGAGCCAGGAAAGAGTCTGCTGTAGGCTCACCTGCCCTGGTGGCAGCAACAGGAAGGCAACCTTCTTGCGCAGGCCACCCATATGTAGGCGGATCTTGCATGGCTGCCCATCCAACATTCGCATCTCTTCATAGGCTATCTCTGCTTGGCCATTTGGTGAGTATTCCCGAGTGCAGTGGGCGAAGGCACCCTCAGATCCTGCCTGCTCCAGGAGGCTTGGTAGTGGCCCCACTGGTTTCAGTGCCCTCCGACCCTGCCGACCTGGCAAAGCCAGGCGGGTATGGGCTGGGCGGGACTGTTTTACCAGCACACCCAGTAGGTCATAGCAGACTGCATCTGACAGGAAAGGGACTGCTACTGCATTGGGCCCAAAGTGCTCCTCGATGACCTGCAGGTGGCCAGTTTATAGGTCAGGGACTTAGGGTCAGAAGTTAACTGGTTGCCTACTTTAAATTGACCCCCAGTGTTCACTGTTCAGTTACATCTCTATAGTGTTCAGATTTGTGCTTTCTGCTTATCTCCCAGCTCTCCTGCAGCAAAACTTTGAATGTCTACATGTCAAACTATCTAGGTAATGGGAAAACATAAAAGAATGAGACTTTGTCTTTGTCCTGATATAGTTTAGTCTAATGGAGAAGACAAAAATGTAAACAGCTATGTAAAATATTAATAGAAAGCAAGATGTGAAGGAGACAAGAAGTGATTGAACAGTCTTTACCTTTCATAGAAACAGGATCAAGGAAGGTTTCTAGATGGTGATACTTGAGTTTTGAAGGAATTATCTAGGTAGGAGAATGGTCAATTCAGGCATAAGAGTCAGCCAGTGAAAAAACTTGAATTTATAAACCAAGAGGGGCACATTTAGGAACACATAATTTTATAATGCTTGTGTGTATGGTATGAAGAGGGAAAGGCACACAGGAACTAGATTATGAAAGGCTTGTGTGCGTGTCAAGTGAATTGCCCTGAAGGCAGTGGGAAGCTGCTTGAAGGGCTCTGGGTAGGAGGAACAGGATCAGATAGGTGTTTTTGAAAGCTATTTTTTTTTTTTTTTTTTTTTAAATTGAGTCTCCTTTGTTGCCTAGGCTGGAGTGCAGTGGTGTGATCTTGGCTCACTGAAACCTCTGCCTCCTGGGCTCAAGTGATTGTCCTGGCTCAGCCTCTTGAGTAGTTGGAACTACAGGCACCCACCACCACACCTGGCTTATTTTTTGTATTTTTAGTAGTGATGGGGTTTCACTCTGTTGCCTAGGCTGGTTTTGAACTCCTGAGCTCAGGCAGTCCACCTGCCTCGGCCTCCCAAAGTGTTGAGATTACAGGTGTGAGCTACCGCGCCTGGCCAGAAAGCTAATTTTTAATAGGAAGGCATAAAATAAGGGTGATAGATGAGCTAAGAGTATGGCAATACTCCAGGCAAGGCATGATAAGGTCCTGAACTAAAATAGAGGGGGAAGATACTAGAGATATTTAGGTTATAGAATTAGTAGAACTTGGTCACTTAGGAGATATGGAAAAAAGAATCCTCAGCGGTGCACGCTGGCTCATGCCTATAATCCCAGCACTTTGGGAGGCCGAGACAGGTGGGTCACCTGAGGTCAGGAGTTGGAGATCATTCTGACTAACATGGTGAAACCCTGTTTCTACTAAAAATAGAAAAATTAGCCGGGCATGGTGGCACACACCTGTAATCCCAGCTACTTGTGATACTGAGGCAGGAGAATTGCTTGAACCTGGGAGGCAGAGGTTGCAATGAGCCGAGATGGCACCACTGCACTCAACAGAGTCTCAAGCAAAAAAGAAAAAAAGAATCTTCAAGGATTCTTCTTAGGTGACTGGTTACATGGGTGATGTCTTTAATCAATAGTAGGTTACACAGAAATAGATTCGGAATGTCCATTCTTTTACCATGTCTGTTACCTCATAGTATATACCTTCTACCCTAGCTGCAAGGGGTAGTTTTTATAGGGAATTTGAGGCCTCATATTTATAATGTTAGTTAAAGTATGCTTTCAGGGATTTTAATTAATTGTGTGTGTGTGTGTGTGTGTGTTTTGTTGTTGTTTTGTCATGGCCTTTTTGGGGTTGGTAACCCTGGAAAGTTTATTTTTCATGACTAACTGGGAAACATAAGAGCCTGTCTAGTAATTGTACTTAAGTATGGTTTCAACCCATTCAGGATTTTGTGGCTGACGTTTCTGGTTCTCTGCTCTACTAGGGAGCAAGGGCACACAGAGTTTCCTCTTAGGGCATCTCGTATATTTGAGCCCAGTGCTTACAGTGCTGTACTCTACTCCCTACCTCCAGGCCCAAATTCCGCATGGCTATGCCCGTACTGATGGCATTGCCCTCTTTGTTGGCCTTCTGGCAGAATTCACCAGTGGCTCCTTAAGGCTGATCTACTTTTTGCTACAAAGCTGTTTTGGAAGTACTGCCTCCTAGCATAAGAGGAAGGTAGCTAACTATGGAGTTGCATCTGCACCTTGGATAAGCTGAGGTAGCTTATAGACTACTGTCTTGTCACCTGGCCAAAGGAATAACTGATGTTCTTTTGTGGTCTGCATGGGAGAGTTTCCCATTATTCCTTCTCCTTTGCTTCACTGGAACGCTTCCTTTTGGGTGGGGCTCTGAGAAGGACCAGTGGGTTTTCCAGGGGAGAGAGCAGAACACTGGTGGGTTGACATTTTTGGATGCAATGCTTGCGCCATGACCATGAAATCAGATGCACCAAGCATGACATCAGAATCTCACCGTAACTGCTCCTTTGGTGTCAAGGATCCTGCACAAGTAAGATAAATGGGAGTGTCTGTTGAAGAGCCCCCTCTGATAGGAGTGTGACATTTAAAATACCTGGTGCTTATTATCCAAGTTTCTGCTAAAAGGGTGAATCTTGGTTTACCTGGAGGCTCTTTATTCCCCATATGCTCTTCCTATATGCTGACAGGCATTAAGTTGCCTAATTCTAACTCTCCCTGACCTTGACAGCTCCAGTGGTTATCCTAAAATAGGAAAAATAAGGAGCTCAGCAGTTCTTTGTTAGGGAGACTGTGTTCTTGGTAGAATCACTATTTAAGACTACTATGTGCTCCTACAGAACTTTTGCTTCTGGATAGAAATTGTATGGACCTTAGGCCCACAAATTTAGGTTTTCCAGGGGCATCCCAGGAAAGTGATGGTGGAATATTGTTTTCCTAGATGTCCCTTGGTTCCATCGAATTCTGAATGTGGAGTTCTTGAGCCACATTCTGTTTAGCCAAATGTTTTACCATATGTTCAGTAAACTGTCAGTGGTTTTGGACACAGGAAACCAGGTCACTTAAAGGTGACCTAATCCTTGAATTTGCCCCATAATGCCAGTGATTTATCCTGCATATCTCTACTCCGATTTTCCTGACAATTTTCAGTTTAAATAGGATAATGAGTTTTTCTGATACTCAGAGATGGCATAGCTTTCTAATAGTGGGAGACTCTGTTTGTTTTCAGTCTAATTCTGCTTGATCTAGTCCAGGACCAACCTTCTACACTGCTGAAACCAGTTGCTCTAATACTTGGGAAGACCTTGAGTTCTCCTGATTTTGCTTCCCTGGGAAGTTGGCCTTTGTGGTAAGCAGCTACCCTATTTGGAATGGAAGCAGCATGCCATTAAATCTTCTTTGAGTGTGGTAGGCACTGCTTTAAGATTTTTTTTTTTTTTTAAGCCTGGTAGGCTGACTTCTATGAATGTTATAAATTCACCTTCCTTCAAATCACATAGTCAGAATCTGATTCTAAATTATCTGATCTGAAATTTCCTGCCATCCAACCTGCAACTGAAAAGTGATTTGGTAGGATTTTTGGATACCTGCAACCCAGATACAGCTGAGATTGTCCTGCTCCTTAAAATATAAAAATCTGCCTCAAAATCCAAATTTCTTATTTTGTGGAAGTTAAGGTGGAGGAGATCTGTGAAAGAGTTTCAGATAAAATTCAGATTCTATAGGAAGCTGGTTCTGTAGGAAGTCCAGGTTCTAAGATTAGCCCTTATATCTCTTTGGCTTTATTTTTACTACTGCTTCTTTGAACTCTGCTCTAGAAGATTATTAGCAGTTCTCAAATATGAATTATTATTTTTCCTCTCCTTGTTTTTACAAATGCTCTACATTTAATTACTATTAAATTATTATATACTCACCACCCCCCTTCTCATTAATTCAGATATTTATTAAGTACCTTTTATTTGTCAGGTTCTCCTCTCCCTCTTTGTGTGAATAACTCCTGCTTGCCTAGCTAGAATGTCACTCTTTCCAGGAAGCCTTCCTGATCTCCTGTCTCACCCCGACTTAGCGTGTCTCCTCTTTGTTCATAATTCCCTATACACTGCTTTTCAGTGAACGTTTTTACTATTTTTACAGTTGTCATTAAATGGGGGCAGTCCATGCCAATAACTTTACTGCAGTGCTTGGCACATATGGAAGCACTGAGTAAATGTTGGTTATTATTGTCTTCAGACTTCCCACCCCTTCCTACTCACAAGCTGCTCAGACCCATGGAGGTCATACTTTGTTACTTCCTCTTTAGCCTCCTTACTTCACCTACCTTATCCTTGATGAGGGTCCAGGTGGCATCAGCTTCATCCAATGTCAGCAGGTGGGGGGTACCCACCAACATGGTGGAGTATGGGAGGGATTGGGCCGGGCAGTGGCTGCTGCAGGAACCCCAGGTGGCCCAGGGAGGTGAGACCTGAGGTCTTGGGCTCTAAGCCATTGCATGACATCATAGAGGTCCTGCTAGATAATTGTGCCTTGGATAGGGGGAGGACAGTGACTTTCCTAGCTTCACTGCAGCGTGTAATTCATACTCTTGAGTCACTTATCCATCCTCCTGCATTAGGGAAAGAAAATGCAGGTGTCTGTTAGGGTGTGTTTGTATATGTGTATGTGTGTGTGTAGTTCTTGGTCTGAGTTCTTTAAGGAAACAGGATCAGGTCTCTCCTCCCTTCAGCAGCATCTCTGAAGCAATTTACTATCTTAGCTGCAGATGCTTCTCTGTGAGGTTGGATTGGGGTCCTAAAGGACATGGGAGAAGTACAATCATGAGCCACATAACAATGTTTTGGAAAATGATATGTGACTGACAGTGGTCTGACACCATAAGAGTATATTGTCGTGTTTTTACTTTACTTTTTCTATGTTTAGGTATGTTTTGATACACAAATACCATTGTGTTACAATTTCTTATGGTATTCACTACAGTAACATGTACAGATTTGTAGCCCAAGAGCAATTGGCTATACCTTAGAGCCTACAGCCTAGGTGTGTAGTAGGCTATACCATCTAGGTTTGTGTAAGCACACTCTATGATGTTTGTGCAATGATAAAATTGTGTAAGGATGCATTTCTCAGAACATACCCTGTTGTTAAGCAATGCATGACTATGTAGATCAGGACTTATACTGAGAACCAAGCAGTGGTTCCCAACCTTGGCTGCACTTTGGAATTGCCTGGGAGCTTAAAAATTACTGGTGCCTGGATCAATTACTGGTGCCAGAGATTCTGATTTAATTGGTCTGGGGTGTGCCTGGGCATCACAATTTCTAAAAGCTCTTCAGGCAATTATAATGCATAACTTAGGTTGAAAACCATTATTAATGGGTGGGTTACAATTGCAGTGAAAACCAGGAAAATGTGTAGGAGGTTGCTGTGCTCAGCAGTGTGACAATGTGGAGGGTAAGAATATAATTGGGATAATGTTGCCTTAGTAACGAGAGAATCTTCAGGAAGGCAGAATTACGCAGGTAAATTTGAGGAAAAATTTCTTCATGCTCCACTCCATGTCCTAGTCTGATTTGTGCCTAGTAGCTAGATAAAAGCTGGAATATTAGCTATATGTTATCTCCTTTGCATCTTTGCCCAGAGATCTCAACTGTGTTTTGCTGAAGAAGAACCATTCTAGAGAGCCTTTCCTGTAGTTACTTTTCTACTCCATACCTTAGCTGTTCAAGGAGTCCTTTCTCTGAGTCCTTCTGGAGAATCTCCTTTGTGCCCAGGAAGACCTCTTTTGTGTAGGTGGTATCCTTGCCTAGCCCAGCCCTGCATAGCTCTGTAGAGCAGTCCCACAAAGTTGGCTGTCATCTGAGCTGGCTGAGGTGGTATGAGTGGGGGCATAGGCAAAGGTCCTGCAGTGGTGGGAAAGAGCGTTAGGAAAGTTTTCCTAAAGGAGATGTAACTGGCCTCGGGAGGGCAGGTCTCCTTAGATAGAGCTATGGATATGGGTGCTGGGTCTTTGAGCAAAGGTTTTACAGTGGGTGTGGTCCTATTTTCCAAGAGAAGAATTAATATCAAATATTTCCAGGAGAGGAATTATACCAAATATTAATGTTGAGCTCTTTTGTGCTGGGGCTGTGCCAAATACTTTGAATTCATTATATTAGTTAATCCATTTGGTATCCTCTTGAAGTAGTTACTACTGTTATCTCATTTTACAAGTAAAGAAATAGGCTCAGAGAGGTTAAATAATTATTTCAAAGCATATGATGAGTTTATAGAGGATCTAGGATTCAGGTAAAAGTCTGCTGGACTGAATCTTTAACTAATACATTCCTTTGGCTCACTTTAGTGTGTGGTGGGAGGAGTGAGTGCCAGATGGAAAGTACTAAGTGGTTTAGTGAAAAGGAAATGGGCAGGATAAGAGGAGCCACGATGAGCCAAATCAGAAACCCCAAGTTTCTTGTTAAGACAAGTGAAACCAAATCCCTTCCTTCTAATGCCCCTTTAGCACATTTTGATTATGGTTGACAAAAAGAGGTCACCTGGTGTAGTATAGCTGCACCTCTGTTCTCTCCAGGGAATTCTGAGTGAGGCAGGTGGAGATAGAGCAAGAGAGAGACATACACAAGAACAAGAGACACAGATATGGGATAAAACTGACAAATGGCGCAAGGAGACAGAGATGTAGCGATATAGAGACAGTGAGAGTGACTGAGAGAGAATGGTGTACATCCAGATCCCAAGGAGATTCCAGAATGAGAAGGAGAGGAATGAGATTGGTGCAGGGATGGTGGACTGTGGTGACTTTACCACCGTGCAGTCTGCATATAACAAAATTGCCCTTGTACCCTTTGAATTTATACAAAAAAAAAAAAAAAAAAAAAAAAAGGACGAGGAGGATCTCTTTAGGACTTTTGGGAGAGGGACTCAGAGGGGAAATTGGGAGTGAAAACTTCTGTCTGATTACTCCTCAGTCAGAAGCCCATACATTCTTCTGCTGGCTGATTGTCATGATTCCCTAAGATCCCTAAATTCCCTACTGATCTACCCCAACACTAAGTCGGTCGGTCTTTCCTTTTGACTCAGAAAGACTGAGTCTAAAAGTTACTGAAGGAAAATGGATGGCAACTGGGTCCTGGATGGAGATGGTGAGCCTAAGGACTGGGCTCTTTGGGCCATGTCCTGCTTATAGGATTTGCCTCTGGTGTGGCGTGAGAGACAGATCATCTGTAGGGTATCTGAGAGTGATCTGAATGGAGAGCATGAGGGTAACAAACAGATGGATCTTTTTATCCAGAGAACATGAGGTTCTCAGTATGAACCTGTAGGGCAGTATAGAATAGTATTGACAGCTAAGACTTTAGAGTGATAAAGAGCCTTAACAAGTCTCTTCATGTCTCTCAGACTTCAAGGATAATCACACAGACCCCTCATACCTTATTTGAAACTTTTAGGGACAGATATTTTGGAATTCAGTTTTTTTCAGATTATAGAAAAGGAATATTTTATATATATATATATATCCTGTATTAAGGAATACCCCAGTGGGATTCAGGACAGTGCCCTATAATCAAACGCATCAACACTTCTGAAGTTAGATGTATGAATATTCACACTAAATAAGATAAATAAAGATTATAAATAGGATCATGATGGTTGAGGTGTCAGGTTTTGGGCCAAAGTTATAAAAAATATTGTTTCTTCAGAGTTTTTTTTTAAATTTTGGAATTATGGATGAGGGATTGTGGGCTTATAATTAATTCTCAGGTTGTCATGAGGAATGAGAGTGTGGTAAAACTCTTGAAACTATCATATGGCAGGTATGTATGCAATCTCAATTTGGAACAAGATACAAATGTCCAAGGGAGTGGATTTTTAGCTTGAAGGAAGAAAGTCGCTACAATGGACAACGTACAGCTCTGGAACCAGCTACCTTGAAAAGTTGTGCACAACCAGGAGTTGAAGGTGCCTTAGAAGAGAGTCTTCATGTAGTGGGAGGGTGACAGAATTCATTGTTTATGAATGTTGGCTGCAGATGATTTCCCTTTCGTGTATCAGAGGGGAAGGCAAAAAATCGTATACCTGTATATATGTGAGACACAGGATTATCACACATATTTATTTATAATCAATAAATATCTTACTGCATATATGCTTGTTCACATGTCAATTATTTTCTTAGGATAGATTTATTAAGGGGGAACTTTATGAGACAGGGTCTCACTGTCACCAGGCTGGAGTGCAGTGGTGTGATCACAGCTCACTGCAATAAAGGGGAATTTAGAGTAAGAGAAGGATATGAACATCTTCAAGACTTGTGACTCATTAGGATTAGAATTGTGTCACAGTTATCTGCAAAATCATTGCTTGGAGGCCGTTTAAACTCAGAACCTCATGAAAAAAAAATTAGTCTTGAGAATGAATGAGCCCACACTTAGGTTGACTGTAGATTTCCTCTGTATCTAGTTGTGTGCAGTGTGATGATACCTCTGAAAATCATACAGAGCTTCTGGACTCTTTAGTCCTTGTTATTGATGACCTGGTAAGACCCAGTGTGGCACCGGAGATGGCATCATCTTTTTCTGATCTGCAGCCTCCTTATCTGTGTGGTGTTCCGTGGTCCAGCTTGGTCCAGCTATCTGTGCTGAGCGGACTGGGTTGCTCTTCGCTTCAGGTTTTCCTGTCTAACTCCAGTACCTGTGGTTATGATAGTTTTCCTGGAGAGCTTGGGTTTGCCTTTGCAGTCTGCAGCTTTTTCTGATCTCATAACACTGACTCCCTGCCATATTATACTTATTATATTATACCTATTCTGAACTCCATGATGGTATTAAAGACCTTTTGTTATGTAATGTCCCTTCCAGTGTGGTGTCTTAGCTGAAAATGAATCCCCTGTTGGGCAACACCGCCACACTTCCTGTTCTTGCTCTGGCAGGTACAGAAGTGCGAAATGTTTCATTTATCATATTGCACTAACGTCATGTGCTTCTAATGATGTTGGCGAAGACAAATGGGGGTGCCGATGGGGATTTTATTTGGGGATTGTACCTTCTTGTTGAGGGTGCACAAAAGGGCAGATTGACAAGAAACCGTAGTAATGCAGCCTCAGGCAATCAGATGATGTGGCTGCAGTGATTTTCTGGGATATCAACATTTCTTTCAGTGGACCCCTGACCTCTGAAGCTGCAGTCAAAGGGGAAGAAGTTCTAGCTGTTAATTTTGGGGGCTTTGGTGGGAGTTGGGGTAAGGAAGAATAGTAATTACAGATGAGACCAAAAGAGGATTCTTTGAATTTGAAGTTGCCAAATTGGTACCACAGGGCACATTATTTAGATTATCAGAAGGTGGGAGACTAGCCTGTATAATAACTCGTTTCCTGAGGGCAGTCTGAAAACAGAATCTGGCTCCAGGAGTAGAGAGGGCTGTGATTTCAGACAGGTACCCAAGCACTTGACTCCAGGGACAGCGCCACCATCTGCAGCAGTGCCAAGCACATCCATCAAGTTTGAGATCTATAGAGGAGCTTTTGTGTGGGAGCATGGG